CCCAAACTGGACCTGAAGGGCGCCAAAGGCGAGCTGGCCGCCCCCGACGTGGACGTGACGCTGCCCAGCGTGGAGGTGGACATGCAGGCGCCCGGCGCCAAGCTGGAGGGCGACCTGGCCGTGGGCGACAAGGAGGTGGCCGCCCGAGACAGCAAGTTCAAGATGCCCAAGTTCAAGATGCCGTCCTTCGGCGCGTCGGCGCCAGGCAAGTCCATCGAGGCCTCGGTGGACGTGTCCCTGCCCTCCGCCCACGCCGACGTCAAGACCGGCGACCTCAGCATGGAGCTGCCAGCGGCCGACGTGGCCCTCAAGGCTGGCGAGCTGGGCGTGAAGCTCCCGGAGGGCCACGTGCCCGAGGGGGAGCTCCAGGGACCCGCCGCCGGAGCCGGACTCAAAGGACACCTGCCCAAGATGCACATGCCCAGCCTCAAGATGCCCAAGTTGGACATCCAGGGCCCCCAGGTGGACATCAAGGGACCCAAACTGGACCTGAAGGGCGCCAAAGGTGAGCTGGCCGCCCCCGACGTGGACGTGACGCTGCCCAGCGTGGAGGTGGACATGCAGGTGCCCGGCGCCAAGCTGGAGGGCGACCTGGCCGTGGGCGACAAGGAGGTGGCCGCCCGAGACAGCAAGTTCAAGATCCCCAAGGTCAAGATGCCGTTGTTCCGTTCTTCCTCCCATAAGGCGTCATGGGTTTTACCCGACGTTCAGCATCCTGATAAAGGTGCCGTCGCCCCCCATGTCCTCGATCCCACGCAGTCAGCTGTGGTTTTAGTTGATTACTGTCCTTCCACAGTTCACCGTGATGATCGGGTTCCATTTGAAAACGTTGAGGAAGAAAGCTCCGTTAGGAAACCGGATTTTCAAGTGTCTTCGGCTTTGTCTCCTCCAGGGCAATCTGCAGGCCTGAGCACCCCCGATATGGGTCCTGCGGTGCATCTTCCTGGGCCATCCTCGGCCACCCCATCGCAGGTCGGCTGGCCTGGCTCTCCTTCAGACGGGCTACTCGTCATTAGTCCCCATGCCGAATCCTCTGCCCTCCCTTCCTCTGAGGGTGTGACACTTACAAAATACCAGATGACTTTCCCCAGAACCACTGTGGTTCCTGAACTGTCTCAGGGAGCCCTGCCTGAGTCCCCGGGGGGTGCTCACCCTGCAAGGTCAGAATGTTCCACAGGTGTCCCATTTTGGGAGACGGTTCCACTGTCCCAACCCGATGGCTACCCTGGACCCGTGGAGCACCTGCTTTCCACATCTTATGGTCGAGTTACTTTTCCTAAGTTTTATCAACCAAAGTTCAGGGTTTCAGTCCCAGAAGGAGCAGATGCTGAGCGGGAGCCCCGAGACCTGGCTGATGCCCTACCTCCCCCAAGCCCTGCACTCCAGGGACTGGCCTCCTCAGCCGAGGAAGCTCCAGTGTCCCCACGGCCAGGCCCTGAGCTGCCGTCCACAGGTGTCTCCGTGCCTGAGGGTTCGGAGGGCCCCGTGGGCCCGGCCTGGACCGCAGCCGTGGCTCCAGGGGGTTGCCCCGCTGAACACACTGACCGTGAAGGCAAAGGCAGTTCGTTACGCATGCCTCGGCTCAGGCTCCCGTCCTTCAGGCGGTCCCCGAAGAAGGCGGTGGAGCCGAAAGGGGCCCCTGGACACGGCCTGGTTGTAGATGACGGCCCTGCGGGAGCCGGGACCGAGGTCCAGGTTCCTGAAATGGACGTGCACGTGGACGTGACTACCGCGGAGGAGGGAGCGGAGAGCAGGGTCAAGACGCCCGGCTTTGTGGTGCCGAAGCTGGCACTTCCCACGGTGGGGGCTTCCACGGGGGGACCTGGCCTGCCCCAGGGAGACCCGGCTGCGGCCCTGTCTCACCCCTCTACAGCAGGAGCCTCCCAGGCCACACCCAGCGCTGGGGGTGCTGTTGCAGGCGCTCGCGCAGCAGAGGGCGTCCCAGAGGGAGCGAGCTCGGACCTCTGCCTGCCCGAGGTCCACCTCTCCAGCGTGAGCTTTGTCCACGCCGACCGCAGGCCCGCCAAGGTCCAGGTGCAGGTGAGCCAGTCTGCAGGTGGCCTTCCTCCTACCACACACGACCTGAGTCTGGAAGCTGGCAGCAAAGGGCGTGGGCTTGGGGACGGCTCTGTGAGTCAGCCTGGGGGGGAAGCGACCGATCCCTCAGCAGAAGAGCCCCTCCCAGCACCCGGTCAGGCAGCACGTGCCGCGGTCCCCGCCCCGGCGGGGAGCATGGAGGGGGACCCCGCGCCGGGAAGCGAGACTGCGGGCTCCCACGAGGGCTGGTTTCGAATGCCCTCGCTCGGTCTGTCCAGCTTCTGGCGCTCCTCCAAGGAGAAGGGTGAGGCCAGGGGTGCCGCTCAGAGGCACGCGGCTGTCACCAGTGCCCCAGGGCAGCAGGAGGTGCCAGCTGCCGCCAGCGGTCAGGGGCTCCAGGTTCCCGGGTCCGAGGCGGAGGCAGCTGTGACCCCGCAGCCCCCAGAGGCGGAGGCGGAGGCGGAGGTGGACGTGGCAGGGGTTGCACGGAGAACGCTGGACAGCAAACGCTTGACGCTGCACCTCCCTCCTGCCGGGGGCTCAGCTGGCGACCTTCCCACTTCCGATGTCCGGCTCCGTCCAGGCGAAGGCTCCCTCCCCATTCAGACGCCCAGGGGGAGACTTCCAGAAACCCAAGCTCCTCCAGGAGAAGCGGGCCAGACTTCCGCCCAGGGAGGACAGAGACCAGAGGGCCCGTGTGCCCCGCCCGAAGGCCCCCTGACCCTGAAGGCCTCCAGGACCCACGCGCCATCTCCCATTGCCATTGTGGACCTGCGGCAGCCCTGGGGGGACTCCGCGCTGACTGTCACATTCCCCAAGTTAAAGGTGCCCAGGTTCACCTTCCTGGCCCCGGGCCCCGAGGCGGGGGCCGCCGTCTTCACCCCCTCCGTGGGGGCAGTGTGGGGCCCGGACAGCAGCCTGGACCCAGCCCTGCGTGAGGGATGCCCCGGAGGCTGGGGCGCTGGGGACCCCGGGGAGCAGCCTGTGGTCCATGACCTCTCTCCCGAAGCACCCCCCATTTCTAAGGTCAGAGTGCACATCCAGGGTGCTCGGGTGGAGAGCCAAGAGGTGACCATACGCAGCAGGGTGACGGCAGGCGTCGTGGGCCTCTCGGGGTCCCAGGCCTTATCCGCTCAGGGCGTGCAGGCCTCCGAGGCCCCCGTCTCGGCGACTCCGACACCGTCCTCTGCGTTCTCGTTGCTCAAGAGACAGCCCGACCCGCCGGCTCAGGCCCGGGGGCCCTCGGTCGCTCTGGGCTCTCCGCCGCCAGACGGCTTTCAAGAGGCTCCCCAACTAGTCACCCTGGGAGCTGACCCCGGGGCCGGGGAGCCCTTCGAAATGATCCCTTCCAGCCTCAGCACGCCGGGGCCGCAGACGCTGGCGGGCACCCCGTTTGCAGACGGCTGTTCGGACGAGGAGCCCGCGGAAATTCTCGAGTTCCCGCCGGAAGACGGTGGAGACTCGGCACCACCGCCGGCCGCCGAGGACAGGGCGGCGAAGGGGAAACCGGACAGCAGAAGGTCCGGTCTGTTCCGGTTCTGGCCGCCGAATATCGGCTTTTCTTCCTCTGCCGGGGATGCGCCCGCGGCAGGGCCCCCCGAGAAACAGGAGAAGGCGGGCTGGTTCCGGCTCCCCAAACTAGGCTTCTCCTCGTCCCCTCCCAAGAAAAGCGACAGTGCCGAGCACGAGGCGGGGCTTGCGGGGCGGAAGCTCCAGGAAGAAGCCGTCACCTTTTTCGATGCCCGAGAAAGCTTCTCCCCTGAGGACGAGGCCCGGGGCGCCGAGCAAGGCTCGGGCGGGCGGGAAAGCCAGTGACCGGCCTGCACCCGGCCCGCGGCCAGCTGAGAGCCGCGGGGGTGACTTCTCGGGGGAGGATGAGTGACCAGAGCAAGCCGATGGCGTGGCAACCGCACCCACAGGTCGGAGAACCGAGTGGACGCCCCGCCACTACCACAGCCGCCTCACGCGGCCGCCGGCCGCCGAGGACAGGGCGGCGAAGGGGAAACCGGACAGCAGAAGGTCCGGTCTGTTCCGGTTCTGGCCGCCGAATATCGGCTTTTCTTCCTCTGCCGGGGATGCGCCCGCGGCAGGGCCCCCCGAGAAACAGGAGAAGGCGGGCTGGTTCCGGCTCCCCAAACTAGGCTTCTCCTCGTCCCCTCCCAAGAAAAGCGACAGTGCCGAGCACGAGGCGGGGCTTGCGGGGCGGAAGCTCCAGGAAGAAGCCGTCACCTTTTTCGATGCCCGAGAAAGCTTCTCCCCTGAGGACGAGGCCCGGGGCGCCGAGCAAGGCTCGGGCGGGCGGGAAAGCCAGTGACCGGCCTGCACCCGGCCCGCGGCCAGCTGAGAGCCGCGGGGGTGACTTCTCGGGGGAGGATGAGTGACCAGAGCAAGCCGATGGCGTGGCAACCGCACCCACAGGTCGGAGAACCGAGTGGACGCCCCGCCACTAACACAGCCGCTCCCAAAGCGGGACGAAAAACGCGCCCAGCTCCCCGGACTGAATGCAGAGGCGGCTGGGCTCGCGGCTGGACGCCGGGCCCCGGGGCTGTGGGCTCCGCAGGCCGCGGGAGGAGGTCTCTAGACACGGGTCTGCGACTGCGGGCGACAGCCCGGGGGGCACAGCTGTTCCGTGAGAAGGGGTGATGGCGGCTGCGGGCCAGACCGGGTGTGCCCTCACCCCCGCTCCACGGCTGCTTCCTGCGGACGCAGCCCCGTTTCCCGCAGTCCCGCACGCCCCCGGAACCCCACTGCCTGCGCGCCTGGAACCAGCTCACTGCTCTGTTGACTGTCCCGCCAAGGCGAGCTTGGGGCCTTCGCGTGGCATTCACGGGTGCTGGGCGGGAGATTGGCGGCTGGCGAGAGGTCCCGGGCCGTCCACTTGCCTGCGCGCGCCTCGCCACCTCTCCGACCGGGTCTGCCCCGCGCCCCCGAGCCCCTCCTGTACACGCTGCACCAGGCTCCCCCCGTGGCTGTTGCCCCGTGGGCAATAAAGGAGTGTGCTCCCATGGTGGTGGCTGCCGAGCCTTTTGTCCAGGGAAGCATCGTCGCCTGCCGCCCACCGCGGCGCGGTCCCAACCCCCACCGCGTTCCCCTGGGAGATAGTCCAGGGTGAGCCATAGCCAGTGGCTGTTCACCTAGCTGGCCGTCCCGCTGCTCCTGTGAGCCAGCAGCTGGGAGAGGCCAAGAGGAGGAGGCAGGGGCCCAGGCCATCAGTGCGGCAGGGGACACAGGCACACGCCCCCACCCAGCTGGGAGGCAGAGCAGGGACAGCACGGAGTGAGGGCCAGGGCCTAGGTCCGTGAGGGACGCGTCTCAGCAGCGCCCCCCTCCAAGGAGCCCCCTGGAAGCAGGTGCCGTGGGGTGGTGAATGAGGTTCAGGGCTTCCCGCGGTGGCCACACCCAGGCTCTGGCTGCCCCGACGTCCTCCTGGGGCCCACAGGCATGCCCTGTCCTCAGGAGCCTGGCTCGCTTCTCTCCGGGCCCGGGTGGGCTCCTGCTGCCATGTCCCTTGTCCTTTGGAGGGGCCTGGCTGCTTTCGTGGCCGTGGGGGCAGGAGTGCTGGGCCCTGAGCACCCCTGCAGGGCCGTGGCCCCGGAGGTTGGCATTGCCTCGGGAGGGCCCGAGGGGGCCCGAGAGCACGATGGCTGCAGGGAGGGGGTGTGGGTGGCGAGGAAGGGCCCGGTCCCATCTGGGAGCCATGGCGGGCCAGTGCCGTCTTTCCCTGTGGCCGGCTAAAGAGGTCTTCAGAGTTAGGGGGCATGGAACTCTGGGAAGTGGCTGACGCCAGGGCCCTGCGTGGCTCACGAGTGGGAGGCGAGAAGGGGAAGTCAGCGGGGCCCTCGTCCTGGATCCAGCAAGGTTACTGCCCCCACCTCCCGGGTCCCTGCCTCCCTGCCCGGACCTGCGGTTTTTCTCCCTGTCTGAACCTGGAGTCAAGGCCTGCGATGCCGAGGCCTTGGTCGGGAGGCTGGAGGGCAGCGGTCACCCCACGTGTGAGTCATCTGCTGTGTAACAAATCACCACACACCAGCGGCTTCGAACAACGCACATTTATCCTCTCCCACTTTCCGGGGGCCGGAGTCCAAGCACAGCTCAGCTGGTCCTCTGCCCAGGGTCCCACGAGGCTGTGACAGAGGCTGCGGTCTCTCCTCGGGACTTGACTGAGGAGCCGCTTCTGAAACGCACGGAGTTGCTGGCAGTGTTCAGTGACACGTGGGCCTCTCCGTGGGTGGCCCCGACCTCGCAGCCAGCGGGGCACATTCCCAGCCGGTACCATCTTATGTCCCCAAGCCACCTTTGTGCACTCTGCTGGTTACAAGCCGGGACAGGTCTCACTCACTCCCAAGCGGAGGGGCTCACGCAGGGTGGGGGGCCAGGAGGCGGGTCATGGGAGGCGTTACGTGGCCTGTCCGGCACACCACAGCGCCCTCACAGCCTCTCGGTCCTCAGCCGGCTGGGTCTCCTTCTTTGGAGCTGCCCTTTGAGCCTGCCACCGAAGTGTGGCCGCCAGACTCAAAGCGTGTGGAAACAGGCCTGGCACTGGCTGAGGACCACCGGGCAGCCAGCTATGGCCTTTACCCCTGCCCATCACGGCCCGAACACAGAGCCCTCCTGGACCTCGGCTGACTGGCCTAGGGGCCAGCCGAGTCCTCCAAGACACACACAGCTGCAGGACCAAGAGCCAGCGAGCGGGCAGGTGTGGGAGTGTCTGTCCTGGACAGGGGCCGAGAGGAGCCAGGGCCTGGCGTCACCCATGAAGTTCACATGCAGACCAGCCCCCAGGGGCCCCAGAGGCCTAAGGGCTGCACGAGGTCCTGGCACCCCCCTCACACCCTTGCAAATCGGCAGGCAGGCAGGCTAGGTCTGGTGGGGGGGGTGCTGCTTCACAGATGAGGATGCTGATGTCTGGGGCGTCTGACACCAACCCAACCAGCTCCCCAGGGGCAGAGAGGGCGGGGAAACGGGGCTAGGAAGGGGCGCCCCAGAATGTGGCGTCCACTCACTCAGTTCCCTCGGCTAGTGTCCCTTGGACTGCTGAGCCAGCCCCAAGTGGGTGCGCCCCAGTGGGACTACATGCAACCCCACCCCAGCTCGGTGTCCCCTTGCCCCAGCTCAATCCGTGTCCTCTCCACTCCGCCCCCACTGCTCCCAGGCCCCGCCCCACACTTCAGGAACCACCTCCGGGCACCAGGCCCTGCCCCACAGTCTTGGGCCTGCCTAGCTATGCCAGCAACTGCCCAGGACACACCTGTGGTCAAGGGGGGCCGGTCCATCTGCTCTTGCTCCCCCTCCCCCAGCCAAGGGCGCTAGGCATGCGTGAGTCCCTCCAGAGTCACTGGTGTGCCCTCCCCTGGCCCCTCCCCCCGGGGTTCCTGCGGGCTGGGGCTAGGCGCCGACGGGACTCAGGGGCTCGCATGGCAGGCATGCTTCAGCACCTCTCCGATGGCCGCGTGGATGCGGGCTCCTCACAGGGCCGGGCGGAACCCCAGCCCCCAGCCGAGGAGGTGAGGCGCAGCCCCGTGCTGGGTGCACAGAGAGAGACGGGGAGGCACACATGCTCCAAAGGCCCCGTTTGTGGGTTGAGATTGAAGTTCTTCAGGAATCAGGGAGAGGCATCCTGGAGGGCTCCCTGGAGGAGGTGGGGCTTAAGGGGCTGTATTGGGGGAACAGGGAGAGCAAACAGTTTGCCCCACTGAGTGATGGGAAACTTGACTCTGACCAGGGCTTGTGCGGAAGGAGTTGCTTGGAGCCCAGACGGGGTGGGGGGGGGACAGGTGGGAAGGCCTGAGGGGAGCCAGCGTCCACCAGGAGCTGCGAGGGGCGGGAGCCAGGAGGGGCTGGACCTCAGCCCCGCCACACACAGTCCTGGCCCTGGGCTTCTCCGTCCAAGCCCACGGCGTAACGGGAGCTCCAGTCTCGCTCAAACAGTTGCCGCAGCTGCTCCTGCACGGTGGTCACCCCGGGCTGGGCGCTGGCAGCCCTCTGGCTGACCACCAGGCCCACCCCCGAGGTGCTGCTGAAGTAATCCTCCGACCAGTTGGAGGTGCCTGTGGGGGTGAGTGGGAAAGAGAGGCTGCGTCCCTGGGCTCACATGGGCCCCTCCAGCCTGGCACGGTCCTGTGGCCCCGGTCGCAGCTTTGGTGCCCTGTCACTCCAGCCATGGCAGCCTCGCGGGCAGGAGGGCCAGCTGCTCTGCACGTGGGACCCCGCCCACATCATCCGGGGCAGGCTGACCCCGCCCACATCATCCGGGGCAGGCTGACCCCGCCCACATCATCCGGGGCAGGCTGACCCCGCCCACATCATCCGGGGCAGGCGTCCTGACTCCGCCCACATCTTCGGGGTCAGGTGTCCAGACTAGCGTTTCAGGACTCTGCGATGGGGTTTCCCCCCTGCGTCGTGGGGCTGGGTGACACCTGGCTACTTGCCTGTCCTCAGAACTACACTGGAGACCCAGCGGAGACCCCGTCAGCAGCCCTCCGTCCTGAGGGGTCCGCGTCGGGTATGAGAGCAGTGCCACCTTCAGCACCCTGGCCCGGCCACGGCCTGGGGGGCACGTCCACCTTCCGCCCTTGTGTGGCCTTGTGCCCACTCACTTGACGCCCCTCAAAGACTCGAGGGCCCTGAGGCTGCCCAGGCCGGCGCCGCTGCCCACACACCCGCCTGCGCGGGGCTCACCTACGTAGGCCGCCTTCTCCGTGACCATGAACTTGCAGTGGTTCCCTGCTGAATTTGGAGTGGTTCCCCACGGGCACGATGAAGACTTTCTTTGGGGACAGAGAGGGAGCGTGTCAGGGAGGGAGGAGGCCCGCCTCTCCTAGCTGGCCCAGGGAGCGGGTCCTCACCACGTCCACCGAGACGCCGGCCTGCGGGTTACTGAATGCCTGCAGGGACCGCAGGAAGGGGAACATCCTGGGGTCCGTGTTGAGCCCGCAGCTGACCAGCAGGCGCACGCGCACGCCTCTTTGGAGGGCCGCCTCCCGCAGTGCGTTGTCCAGCACCGGCCAGTACCTGGGGAGAGGGAGGGGTCAAGGTTCTCGGAGCAGCCCCCCACCCTTCAGGGCCGCGGCTCCGCCCGCAGACCCACCTGACAGGGCGGCGGAAGCGCGTGGTGGGGAAATACTCCATCACCGAGGCGTAGATGAACTGCCGGGCCGCCCTTATCACTGCGAGCAGCGCGTCCAGGTCCCGCGTGCGGCCGTGGGGGCACAGCTGGGGTGGCGATGCCTGTGTGGGGAGAGGGGTCCCTGAGGGCACGCCTGCTCTGAGACACTTGGTTCCTGGACCGTGACCCCAGCACGCACCCCCCAGCATTTGGGATCCAGGAGGAAGGCAAGAGGTGCTGCCTGGGGAGCTAGGAAGGTGGAGAGCTGGCCGTCACCCCTGAGGGCCTTGGTGCCAGACAGGGCTCTTGCACCTGCTCAGAGCAGCCCCTGCTCTGCCCCCAGCTCTGCTGCCGACCAGCCCCTGGGGCCCCCGAGGGCTGCGCCTGAGGGTCGGGCATAGCTGGTGGGTGTGAGCGTTGTCCCTCTCCCTCCCTCCCTGCAGGCTAGCGGAGTCACTCGATGAGCTGCTTCTCCCCCCACCTTCCTGGTCCTGGTCCAAGCCGGAGCCCCTTGACCCCATCCGGCCGTGTGCTTGGAGACCCCTGGGGGTGTCTGCCTGAGGACCCAGCACGTGCCGTGCATCCGAGAGCAGGCCCAGGGTGGAGCAGGGTTCCCTGTGGGTCTGGCTAGCCAGGAGGGAGCCCTCCTACCGAGAAGTAGGCAGTGGTGGGCACCCCGTCAAAGCGTGCCCGGAAGGGCTGCAGCTGGTTGATGTGGGCCGAGAGGTTCCAAGGCCAGTGTCTGGGGAGGACGGCCTGGGGCGCCCCCAGCACCCAGTAGGTCTGGAAGGTCTTGTCCAGGTCCCGGGCCAGGCGGCTGCAGTTGTAGATGATGGCGCCGAGCTCCTTCACCTGCAGAGACGGGGCAGCGGCCGTGGAAGGACGGCCGCTGGGGGCTGGGTGGGCTTCCCGGGCCCATGAGGCGGGCAGGGTGCAGCCCCCACACTGGCGGCCGTCCAGAGCAGCATCAC